TTTTTTTTATGTTTATGTTGGGAGTAATGTATGAATCAAAGCTTTGTACCTTCCTCTATGGTGCTATAATAAAGTTGCTGGCCTCCTTTGCCGAGGATGTAGGTCGTTTTGACCGAACCACGTTAAATCTGTCTTTTTTTCTATATATGCTGCTGTTTTTTTTATGTTTATGTTGGGAGTAATGTATGAATCAAAGCTTTGTACCTTCCTCTATGGTGCTATAATAAAGTTGTTGGCCTCCTTTGCCGTGGATGTAGGTCGTTTTGACCGAACCACGTTAAATCTGTGTCTTTTTTTCTATATATGCTGCTGTTTTTTTTATGTTTATGTTGGGAGTAATGTATGAATCAAAGCTTTGTACCTTCCTCTTTGGTGCTATAATAAAGTTGTTGGCCTACTTTGCCGTGGATATAGGACATTTTGACCGAACCACGTTAAACTCTGTCTTTTTTTCATTTTCATGAGTGCAACACGGAATCCCCATTATAGCTTTCCTCATCCTCCTCAAGGTATGTTGCGGCATTGAAAATTGTATTTTGCTAAAATGTGTTTTTTTAAAATGTGAGACTGAAGGTCGGGGAAGGTGCAACTGAAGGTTCAACAGTAGAATATTAATGTATTTTTTTAAAATGTGAAACTGATGGTTCAACACCTTACAGACAAGTATTATTTGGTGGATGCTGGTTATCCGTTGCAACGAGGATATCTCAAACCATATCCTGATACCAGATATCATATACCTGATTTTGAACGAGCAAGTAACGTTACACGAAACAGAAAGGAGGTGTTCAACGAAAGACATTCCTCTTTGCGAGGCGTCATCGAGAGGACATTTGGGGTCTGGAAGAAGAAGTTTGTGATATTACGTGATATGCCTCCTTACCCATTTCCAAAACAGGTTCAGATTGTAATAGCGACGATGACAATACACAATTATATTAGGCGACACCCGTCTCGATATGACGTTGACTTCCTCAATGCTGAAGCAAATCAACAGGAAATAAAATAACTGAAGACCCATCTGAAAAACAAGATGAAAGTGAACAATCAACCATTTGTACTAAGGAGGGGGAAGGTGCAATTGAAATGGCGGCCATTCGAGAACAAATTACTAATGCGTTGGTTAATATTTGATTGATTTGCAATTTCTTATAATGACAAAACAGTCAAATTAGGAGTGTTTGTTAGGAGATATTAATTTACTTCACTGGTGATGTAATAAATAACTTTATTAAGGATTAAAGCTTTTCATAAATGGTTATGAATGATCATTAATTGCATTTACTTGGTAGCTGTTTAGATTATAATGGGTTTTCAAGAAACTTTTGTTGAATTATGCTCTTAAAAAATTAAGTGTTATCCAACAAAATATGTAATTTTAGATGTTAAATATTTTTCAAAAACTTATGTGAAATGTCCAACAAACCATGATCTCATGATAAAAATATTTTTCAAAAAACTATATTTTTAAAAAACTTTCTATAAATAAATAATATTCTGTTTGAAAATATATAAAATATTTTTTAACAAAATTTTCTTTTTTTTCAAATAGGTATTCGAAATTACAAAAATTTTTTAAAAAATTTTCTATAAAGAAATACTATTTTTCTGAATTTTATGTATTTCACACTCAAATTAATACAAATAAACCAAAAATTAAAAACAGTTTTAACAAACAGGGACAGTTTGGTCATTTTTACATGAAACAGCTGCCCTATAGCATTTTTCCCGCAGCTGCACCAAACAGACAGTCAGCTTCCCCGCAGCCTTCCCCGCAGCTGCTTCCCCACAGCTGCTTCCTGGGGCAGCGCAGCTACAGCTGAAAAGCTGAGAATCTACAGCTGCGCCAAACAGATAATCAAGTCACTGATTAGCGCAGAAGGAAATTGACTCCTGATCTAGAGAGTTCAACATCATAGCGTGAGCATAGAATTAATCAGGCAGATGTCTTATTGTGTCAAAACAAGTTTTAAAGAATACAATAAGCAAAAGCTCCATGTTCCGTTGAGGTCAAAGAAAGACATAAGAAAAAATGATGTCTATAGCCAGCCTGCAGTAGATGCTGCAACAGCAGCATACCTACTGCACACAAACACAACCATGTATAAAAAGATGGAACTATAATTCCAATCTATAAGTAAGTGCTTTTGATAAATTTGAACCAAACTGCAAAACTTGACCTGTATCCTGAGATGCGGTTTTCCAACTCAATGGCCTTTAACGAGAGAATAGTAATATCCACTTACTACAAGCAGAAGAACACAAATTGCAGCAGGAGCTGCCCATAGCCAATATGAATGTTGTTGCTTCTTCTTCTTCAGGATCTTGGGCATTTGGTTTAGACCTTTTGATCGACTACGTGATCGAATTGATTTCTCTTTAAACTGATCCTTACTCTTTTCTGGAGCAGAGATCTCAGTATTCACATTAGTTTTCTCTTGCGTGTCTGGTTCAGTATCCTTGGTCTCAGTTTCTGATTGCTCAGCATCAGCAGGTTGTGAAGATGACCCCCCAGATTTCTTTCTAGCCTTCTTCTCCTTTTCCTGCAGACATGCAAAGATGGCAGGACGGACTCATTAAAAAACTGTCACTAGATATTGCCATTGGCAAAATAGAGAAAAATAACAAAACAAGGGTGAGAAATACGTGCCTTCTGCTTCTTTTCAGCTTCTTTTTGAGCCCTAACTGCAGCCTTGGTAGCAGCTTTCTCTGCTAACTTCTTCTTCCGATATGGCAGACTTAGCCTTGGCAATCTCTTCCTCTCTTTTCATCTCCTTCAGCTTTGCTGGATCAATCTCGTTGGATTCTGAGTGTTTCTTAGGGGACTTGTCACCCACATTAGAGTTTTCAGCCTCACGCACTTGTTTTGGCGCCTCAGCTTCAACCGGTTTCATGATAAATTCTTCCTGAGTCTTGCGGACTTCATGCTTTGGAGGGATTACACTCCCTTTTTCTTTTTTGGCACTGGCTTTAGATGGTTCTTTCTCTGCTTCAACCTTTTTCAGGCTGGAGTTAATTGGTTCTTTCTCTGGTTCAACATATAACGGTTCCACAGACATAACTGGTTTCTCATCAGGGTTTCTCATTCTGCCATCCCTGCTCAACTGCCTCGCATCCAATGAAGACAGTGTCCTTTTTTCATAATCATCCCTAAAAGCTTTACTATTGATCCACTGCGACATAAATTTCTCTACCTGAGATGATTTACGAAGTAAATCATAATACAGGTTATTACAAATACTCAGCTCCAAGGATATGAAAAAAATAAAAAACCTGCACAATAAGACAAACCTCGTTGAAAGAAAGCTCTTTAAGTGCCAATATATCCTTGTTTATAGAAAGTCCCTTGACATTGTTCATGAGTGAACGGTATTGGAAGAAACATGCATTCTGGAAACAGCAAAATTAAACACACCATCAGTAATCAACATTTATCATACTATGTCCCAAAATCAAAGCGTATTGAATTAGCTATGGAAATAAAGCTTGTGAATACAAAATTTCTGAAGACAGTATTTAAATTACAGGTACCGAATTTAAACTATAAACTCCTCGCTATCCAAGTAATTTCCTCATTTCTCTTAAAAAAAGAAACCTCAGAAAAGCAGTTCGGTTTACCTAAGCTAGTGGGACTCTAAAACTGTGTATTCTTACAGGTAACTAGGAAAACATTTATTAAATCAGCTCGAGTTCAAGCTTGCCTATACTTGGCTTGTCGACTAACGAGTCGGCTCGATTATGATGGCCATGCTAATGCCTTCTCAGGCAAGCTGCCGTGACACTGCTCCAGGCATTAATGCCTTCCCTGGTGACCTATTTGGCTGTAGCTAGCAAGCAGAGCTCAAGCTTGAACTTGCATTTTGATAGACGAGCCAAACTCGAGTTAGGCATGACTCGAGCTCGGCTCAACTTGTTTACACCCTGGGGTCAGCAATGTAATGACTTTAAAATTCCTTTTGAACAATATTTGAAGCTAGCATGAATCTTTTGAGCTAATCTCAAATAATTGAGAATAAACTAACAATGAAGATGATGACCTATTGTTGTTACACTGGCTGTTATATGTTTCTAGGAGTTTAAAGTCAAATTTGAATCAACAAACGGTAGAGGAAGCCATGCAGGCAACATTCCTACAAACCATAAACAACAACCTACGGTTTTGCATTCCTGGTTTTAGCCCATAAAGAAGGATCTAGTTCAGCTCTCTCTAAAATTTTGACAAATGACAATACGGATATCTTAAAGAACAGATACGTAGTAGTTAATTCGCTCTGAAATTTTCTCAATATTATAAATTTATGTTATGCAAAGCCTCAACAAATATAAGAGTAAAGCTGAATACATCAAATCTATTCAAACCCTGCATTAATGGAATCAACATTAACTTGGTACACTTTATGTTTATTAGTAGGAATAAAAACATAGTAGCCTTCTCATGTTGGGTTCCCTTGCTATAACACTATCATAAATAGGTCTCTTATTTATAGCATGTGCTATATGTTTAGAATAAGTTTGTCATTATCTCCCAACATTGGAGATGTAAAGCTTTTTATGGTTTAGGTGACCAAGATGCGGGTTTGTAACATACTAATTTTTCTTTGAATCACAGGTACTTTCTTTGAGCCATATGTCCGATTTCTTTTTTCTCCACCAGCAATAAGTAAATCATGCATCTTCAATCAGGAAATTGCAAATTTGACATCCACAAATGAATTAACCAATATGAGAATGGCGATATAACATTTTAAGGATGAGATCATACCATTTTCCATCTGCTAGAACTTTTATTAAAATCTTCCTTATATTAGTAAATTAAGGCTAATTGATATAATGGTGGTCCAGAGAATCCATCACACAGCATAAACCACTGAAGGGTTCATTGATTACTTATACAAAAAGTAATATTTCAGATATTGAACATTTAAGTTCAACAAATATTACCCCTTAAAATAGTTTTAGAACTCTCTCTTCATGCATTTCAATTTCTAGCTTAACCCCTTCTAGGTTTTATACATGCAAAAATCAACTCGAACTACCATGTTGCAATTCTGACGTTGGGTAGTAAGTTAGGTAGGGTTGCAAAATCATATGATTTGACTTGGCATGATGTGATTAGGCAATAAAAAGAATGACTACAATGTAACAGTATATTTCATTACTATAGAGTGTTTAATGTGAAGTGTAGTAGATCTCCCATCAAAAGCACACACAAGCACGGGCATGCTCGTACACACTCTCTTACATATGCATGGATATGCAAGTGCACACAAAATGCATAATATACAAATATATTAAACAATTATAACTTCTAACTTAAAACTAAATGCAATTCCAATCAACCCTCTTCTTATTAATTCAAGAAAATTACAACACTTAGACTAAAACTACATAATATACTGCGGTGGTTCTTATGCTCCTCTATTATTTACATGTCAGATTTGTAGTGTGAACAATTTATCAATAATATAGTAAAAGATATAGGAATAATTTCAATAAATGGCAAGCAATGCATCAATATTTATAAAATAAGCCTGCTAGCCCTATGAAAATTATAAAAATACATGGCAAATGCCACAACCATTTACCTTGGCACAAAGACTGCTCGAGTTTCTTAAATTTCTAACGAAATGCTTGTTTGATTATGGTCAGCTAACTACAGATGACATGAACTTGACATGAGCCTGAAATCAACAGGGAGAGGTAGCAAGCGATGAAGATAGCTTAAAATTTCTCTGCTTAAGGAAACCTCTGTAATAATTTATTCTGAGCCAATTTCACATTCAAATGCTAATATATAGCCAAAATAATTGTTAGGAATGGATGCTATATAAATACAGGTCACAGAAAGCAAAAAATTTCTTTGGTGAGTGTCAGGTGATAATATATAATGTTTTAAATATAAAAAAACTTAAAAGTTAATCAGTATTTAATAGTCATTTAAAAATCTTATTTATTTTTTTACTTTTCACTTGTAAAAATTAATGAAAAAAGTAATTTAATATTCTTATAATTACATATTATATTTTACATTCAATATAAGCTTATTTGCTCAAAAAGTTAAGGCAAATAGATCCTGTCAAATAATGACTAAAGGTTCCAGCACTTATTTTGAGCTGGCCAGCTTAACATTTATAAATAGAATATTTGTGAAAAAGTAAAAATATTATTAGAATTAGTATTAGTATTAATGTTGTTTTTGTTATTGTTGTTGTCGTTGTTATTATTTATAAGTACATAATTATATATATTAGTGTCGCTAAGTTTGAATTAGATAACCAAAACCTCAGGTCACGGGTTCGATCCTCAGTGGCTCTAAGTTCTCGAATATTTAGGCACATGGCGCGGGCTCTCATCATAGGACCTAGTGCATGAGAAATCAGTATTTGGGCCTCTGCCAAATACCATATTTGGTTATCTGAATTCAAATGATCTAGAACAGATGATACCATATTGGCTAGTAACTTACTAGTTAGGGTTTTATTTGCATTAATTTACACATTTGGTTGAGATTGCTGTATATCACGTTGTATTTGCTAGTTAATTTGCACTGAAACAACTAAATATTATATCATTTAATAAAAACCAACTAAATTCTCACTTTTGTAGGTTTAATTTAGCTTTAAGAACGTTTTCCAAACACTTGAGATTTACAGAATAGTTTACAAATTTTATTCTGATATAACAAGATTTGGTGGTGAATGTCACGCTATAAGGGTTTTGGTTTAGTGTTGAATTCTCTTGGACAGATGCAACAAATTTGTGAAAATCAATCACTTTCTTGTGCCATATTCAGTCCTCGGACGCCTATCAAAACATCTCACCCTGAAGAATTTATTAAAAGTAATCTCTCAAAAAATTTTATTTTCTTGAGACCTTGTTTTATAAGAAATTTGTTTATATATATATATATCATCTGTTCTAGATCATTTGAATTCACCCATCAAAAAAAAGTGTAGAATAACGCAAAATGACAATCAAGTACGGCTCAAAATATGATGTTAGTGTTGTACAAGAATTCATTACACATTCAGATGAAAGAAAACTAGTAGAAACACCAAAAGTTTTTACGTAGAAAACCCGGAAAGAAAAAAACCAGAGGGTTTGACCCAGTTGAAGAGATCCACTATAAACTGAAAAATACAAGTAGAGTCCCCTGTCCCAAGTTGGAAAGGGTTATGCAATCTTCCAAACTACAAAGTCGATACGTAGATGAACTTATTATAAAAAGAGAGCGACAGTGGATAGTGATCGATAAAAGCTGACAAGCGGTGATCGGTGACTGGCAGCAAGTGGTGGTCGGCTGTGAAGTGATGCTGAACTTCAGCTCATTCTCTAAACTTTAGTCTTGTTTAGGCTTCAAGCTCTCTCTCTCTCTCAAGAGAAGGTTAGGACTTTATTTATAGAGTTCTGATTGAAATTAACGAAAGAAAATAAGCCACTCAAGTCAGACGGTCTGGAGAGATTCCCTCAATCAGATAATATTTGATGGAAATTTGAGTGTCTTAACGATGACAGAATTGAGCGATCTTGGGCTCGTTAGATTCTTCTTCTTAAAACGCTCGATTCGACTATAAACTCGCTGAATTCGACATCCGTTTGAACTTCCAAATATGTCGGGGAAACTTCCAAAATAAGTTTAATGGTCTGTTCGAGCTAGATTTAGTTTGGATTGAACAAATTTTGGTACCTTTGGATCTCACTCATCGATCTGGTCAGTTTGATTGTAAGTTTGTTGAAATCAGAGCTTCAGATGACTTTTATTCGAAGTTCGAAAAATTTCTTCCCAAAAAATCATCCCAAGTTCCGTGATATGCCTTGAGATTCATGCCGGAGGATGGGAATTTATTGAAGACATATTAGTCGCCCCCTATTTTCTGACGAGACCAATTTTGTCGTCCAAAAATATTAAAGTAGTGGGCCCTTTTTCATATGAAAAGATGAAATTATATATATATTCATTTTAGAGAAAATTACATATATATATATATATATATATAGATATATATATATCTATATATATATATATATATATATAATTCATCTTTTCATAGGATAATATATAATACTTTTATACAAAGTAACAAAGTTTTCCCAATTTAGTTGGCCATGCATACTTTCCTCCAATGCTCCCATCCGCGTTAGAAAACCCTTTGTAGCGCCAAAAAAAAATTTTCCTTCAAACTTGAAATAGACAGCATGCAAAAATAGAGAAAAAAATATTCTCATAATTGGGAATGACGGACAAACGGACAATAAAAAAACATATATTTTTTAATTTGGAAGGAAAAAGACGAAAGAATTTAGGAAGATTTCGATTTTATTTATTTATTTATTTATGAAGCATTTAATCACTAAAACCTTTTCGATTGTATAAATAGAGGCCGAAATGA